AAAAAAACAATTAACTTGAGTTAAGTGTAGCCTGGTTTTCATAAAATAACCCAGGTTAACTATAACCTGGTACTATATAAATTAACTCGAGTTAAATGTAGCCTGGTTTTCATAAAATAACCCAGTTTAACTTTAACCTGGTACTTTATAAATTAACTCGAGTTAAGTGTAGCCTGGTTTTAATAAAATAACCCAGGCTAACTTTCACCTGGTACTTTATAAATTAACTCGAGTTAAGTGTAGCCTGGTTTTAATAAAATAACCCAGGCTAACTTTCACCTGGTACTTTATAAATTAACTCGAGTTAAGTGTAGCCTGGTTTTAATAAAAATAACCCAGGCTAACTTTAACTTGGTACTTTATAAATTAACTCGAGTTAAGTGAAGCCTGGTTTTAATAAAAAACCCAATTATCTTGAGTTAAATGTAGCCTGGTTTTCATAAAATACACAGGCTAACTTTAACTTGGTACTTTATAAATTAACTTGAGTTAAGTGTCGCCTGGTTTTCATAAAATAACCCAGGCTAACTTTAACTTGGTACTTTATAAATTAACTTGAGTTAAGTGTCGCCTGGTTTTCATAAAATAACCCAGGCTAACTTTAACCTGGTTCTTTATAAATTAACTCGAGTTAAATGTAGCGTGGTTTTCATAAAATAACGCAGGCTAACTTTAACCTGGTACTTTATAAATTAACTCGAGTTAAGTGTTGCCTGGTTTTCATAAAATAACCCAGGCTAATGTTAACCTGGTACTTTATAAATTAACTCGAGTTAAGTGTAGTCTGGTTTTCATAAAATAACCCAGGCTAATATTAACCCGAGCTAACTGCAGTCTGAATTAAAACGTGATGTCTCCTGAATAAACGCTGACTCAGTAAAGCTCAGCCTTCAGGCCTCCTTCCAGACTGCACAGTCACGGTCCTGTTCTGCTCCGCAACCGAACCGGCCTCCCGAACCGCTCCCACTGCCTCAGCCAGTCCTGCAGGTCCGGATGTGTCCGGCCCAGCAGGACCACAGCGGTGATAAGATGGCCGCCCGAAGCCACACGGCCGGAGGGAAGGGCCGGCCCCAGCTCGGCGCGGGCCACGCCGGAGCCGAACCCAAAACCTCAACAAATTTATTATTCATGAAGGTTTAATAACCGCATGAGGACAAGAACCGGTACCAGAACCACGTCTAAGGGACTAAATCACCGATTAACGGATCGAGAGTGCGGACTAGCGAAGCGGCAGCCATGCTAGCTAACAACACGCTACCCGCAGAGTCGACGTTACGGTTCCCGGAGACCCGCAGCTTTCGTACGGACACAGAACCGGGTGCTCAGAACCGCTACTCAACCACCTGGACCGGCTACGACYGCTTCTTACCATTTTAATCCGAGGTTTGTCCGCACTGCGTCGCTTTCAGCTCGGAGATTCTCGGTGGTGAAGAGTAGCAGGGAATGTAGCCGGCCGACCGGAGAAGGAGGAGGGAAGAGGCGAGGGGCGGGGCTAATAGGAAGAGCATACTGGGCGGGGTCGGTGTGGGCGGGGTCTAAACACGATGCGTTTTTTTTTTAACAACAAGACCAAATCAGAGTTTATTGTGTTAACGGAATTGAAGAAATTTTGTATTTATAAAAGGATTTTTGGCACAAATGGTGACAAAGTTCATAAAACACATAAAGAAGTGCTTCTGTTTCAGATCAAACAAGTCTGTTTTATAAAATATAGTTATTTTAAATTTAAATCTGGCACTTTAATATGACAGTGTATTAGGGCCACTTTGCAGATGAAAAAAATGGAGGTGCAAATCTCCTAGAAAAAATACATAAAACTGCTGAAAACACCATTTACTGAAGCTTCACATTTCAAATATATGTTTCACAAATCACACACTTAATTTTAAATACTCTGCAATCAGTGTACAATAATCTAGTCCAGGTTTTAGTTTTTAAACTAGAGCAGAYTAAAGAGGCTCAAGGTAGTGAAAACAGGTGGAATCACGCTTTAGCCACTCCTGAAAACTTCAGTTTTTTTTTCCTCATAAGTTTGAGTTTTTTTTTTT